CTTCTTTTCTATTCTTTCTTCTCTATTCTTTTCTTGTTTGCCGATCGAACTCAATTGAGGCATGGATTCGGAACCTTGGCCGTGTGAGTGAGTACAATCCTCATCTGCATGCATTTCTTACAGACTATACAAATTCTTCTTTCTTCTTCTTAGGCCGCTCATTGAAGGCAGCATGCATGTAGGTATGCTCTTTCAGGTACAGTACTCATCCACATGCGCTCTTACGGACTGTACAAATTCTTCTTTCTTACTCTTAGGCCGCTCACTAAAGGCAGCGTGCATGTGGGAATATTCTTCTTCTTGTCACTCACGGGTTCCCCATCGCAACAACCTTCTTTTCTCTCATCTTTCTTTTAGAAATTAGTATTCAATTTCTTTTCTTTTCTTTGGTAATATGCATGTATGCATATAGATGGGCTTTTTCTTGTTATTCTTTCTAAATTCAAATGCAAGAATGCAAGAATGTAATATGGTATGTAAACATGTCATTCTCTACTTTCTCTACCATCTACAAACTCATCTCAAGATAATATGCTATCATAATCATACATGCACTTCACTTTGAAATTCATCAAACAAGTGGTATGCACAGACAAGCACTAAATTAGCTACACTTCTATCTCCTTTTCTAGCTACCAAAATTTGGAGCACAATTCTCTAAAATCAACTTCAAACCTGGCTAGGAAATTCGCACTTCAAAATTCTATTCGAACTCCTTCGTAACTTCTTCAAACTTCCACCAATTCATCTCATACTAAACACTACTTCTCATGGTGGAATTCTAACCAACACTCAACATCAATTCCATCAACAATTCTCAACATTCAAACACATAAATGTATATAAAATTTCTCTACACAATTCTTGCTCAAATCATGACTAGGGTTGGATTTATTTACCTCGAACTTGAGTAGTTCCACACTAGAATCTCTCTCTTTGGTAGACTTCCTCTTGCTCTTAAACCACCCTAAGCATATAAACTATAAGAATTCAACACTTTAAAAAAATTAATCTTACATCTTGGTGCAAGAATCTTACCTTTGGGTGCTTAGGATTAAAAATCTACCAACCAAAATCCTCTAAATTTCCTTGGAAATTTGGTGAAGAAAATTGAGAGAATTGGGGGTGAAGGTGGCATGTGAGGGAGTAGAGAATGGTAGGGTTTCAATTCTTGAACCCTTTAATATCATATAATTTTACTTATACTTTCCCATTTTGCCCTCGTACTTTCTATGAAATTCCATCTTCGCCCTTTAATCAATTACAATAATGCCCTTATTTCCATTGCATTCTTTATGAAATTCTACTACTTTTCACTCCCCACACTTTCAACTAATTATGGGTGAAATGACCATTTTGCCCTTGAGCAAGGCTTCTAGAATTTTCTTAAAAAATTCTAGAGAGTTCTTTGCCCCAGCGAAGCTTTTTCTTTGCCTCGGCCAGACATTCCAGAGCATAAATTGCTGGGGAAAACTTATTTCCTTGCCGCAGCGAAGTCTGTAATTCTAAAAGCATGATTTGGGTCGCGGCGGCGAAACTCCTTTGCCGCGGCGAAGTCTGCAAATTCTAATTTTTCAATCTTTCACCTTACAACAAGTAAAACTAAGGGCATTAGAACATAAATAACATACCTCAATGTTGGTGTTACAATTGTATTGACATTGAAAAACTTTCTTCATATTGAATTCGTATTTAATTGTGTTGGTATTTGGAAGGTCTAAATAACAGGTTATACAAGGGGCGCATGTTCAGTTGTGTATCATCGCAATTTGTTAGTACAATTTTTTAAAGATGTCGAACTATAATATTATTACAAAATGAAATGGCTTAATTTCTCTTTGAGATCATATCAGCAAAGCTGCCAAACTATAATATCAATAAAAACATTGAAGCGGTCAATGTCTCTCTCAGTTGAAAATTTTAGTATCAGTCTATAAATGATAAAGGTTATGATTTCCATTGTAATAAATCATTTGTTGTGCTATAATTGTACTGTTATGTGATACTTTCAATGTGATATTACTATTAATGGTCAGGATATCAGAATTTTGGTTTAATTATGGGTTAATGCACTTCCTTTTTGATTGATGTGTTCGGTATTATGATGATGTTTAGTATTCTGATGTTTAATGTCATTCTTAATGTAGTGTTTTTGTTAAAGTGTTGATGAAATAAATGGTACTGTTTATGTCACATAATAATATAAGTTTGTATCAAATGCAACTTAAATAAGAATTAAAGTTGTCCACATAAAAGAATTATAAAAAAAAAAAAAAAATCCTAGTCGTTATTTAATTTTGTTATTATTGTCATGTTGTTTATTAAGTGTTATTGAAGTTGATGCAATTTTGTGGATGGATAATTATCTGAAAGAGATCGATGCATTGTATTTGCTATGTATTATTGTTAATGTGAAGTGTGAGGAGTATTTATCTAAATGTGACCAATATAGGGACAAATGGAATTTTATCAAGGTATTCAATTTCCGATCAAATTCATGGTTTACTAGTGTTCCTAGAAAAGTTATAAAAAATTATAAACACAACCAATCATATCGTGATAATGGTTTGGCAATGGAATGTAGACCTCAATGATACCTTATGGATTAATTGTGGATCGTATATTGACTACAACCAACAAATCACCGTATATTGACTACAACCAATTCGATCTGATATATCAACGGTGATGTAAAGATTTGGATAGCTTGAACAATCATAGTTATGGACAATGGTTAGGCAATAGATTCCATACTATTTGTTAGGCAATTTTTTAAAGTTGTCGAACAACAATATCAATAAAAAATTAAGTGGCTTAACATCTCTCTCAGTTGGTATCAGGCAAGCTGCCTAATACTTGGTCTGACTATAAAAAATAACATGGGAGTGACTAACATAGGAACAAATGGAATTGTTTAGCTTTCTGATATATCAAGCTATCCAAATTTTGACCATCCTTAAATCATGGATAAGTATTCAAATTCATGGTTTAGTAGTGTTCCTAGAAAAGTTGTAACAAATTATAAATACAATTAATTACATCCTGGTTATGGTTCGGCAATGGAATGTAGACCTCGATGATACCTTGATCTATCAAAATTCCAAGCATTCTTAAATCATGACCGGTATTTGCCCTATCACCATTTTATAGCCAAATTGATGGTTTGACAGTGAAGTTATCGACTGCAGCAGGCTTTGAACAATCATAATTATAGATAATGGTTAGGCAACAGATTCCATACAATTTGTTAGACAATTTTTTTAAAGATGTCGAACTATAATGTTAATGAAATAATAAAGTGGCTTAATTTCTCTTTGAGTTTATATCAACAAAGCTGCCAAACTATAATATTATTAAAAAAAATTGAAGCGGCTNGGAGGATCTAGCAAATCCCTCCTTAGTTCTTTTGAGATTGTCTTCGTGTGGACTACGTGGGTTCGATCCTACACTTGATCGGCAGCAAAACATTCGTCGACAAATTTGGAGGAGCCTCCAACGTGCATTTGTTTTCTTTAAACTCAGATTTATTTTTCCTGCAGATTTTATTTAATATGAATTGTAAAATTATACCCTTGATCTTGGCTCATGTAAACGATCCTGTCTGAATTATTTTTTTGTTTGCGCTGCGTATATTGGACCGTTTACTAACATTCCATTATAATAAACCTTTTGTTGTGCTGTAATTTATTCAGTATATCAGAGGTGTGGTTTCCAAATCATGGTATTTTATGCGGATAAATTGTAATAAACAAAGTGTCAATCTAATCATGCAGCCCGATGGGTTAATACACTTACTTTTTCATTGATATGTTTGGTATTTTGATGATGTTTGGTGTTCTCATATTTAATGTTGTTGTTAATGGTATTAGTCTCTTTATATCGTGTTTTGTAGCTTTATAATTGCTCTTTTTCGATGCGTTGGATTTGTACTATTAATAATTTTATCCAAAATCGATGGGTGCATTGTACTGTTATGTGATACTTTCAATGTGATATTACTATTAATGAACACGATATCAGAATTTTGGTTTAATTATGGGTTAATGTACTTCCTTTTTGATTGATGTGTTCGATATTACGATGATGTTTGGTATTCTGATATTTATTGTAGTGTTTTTGTTAAATTGTTGAAGAAATTTATGGTACTGTTTATGTCACATAATAGTGTAAGTTTGTATCGAATGCAACTTAAATAAGAATTACACCTATCCATGTAAAAAAATTACAAAAATAAAAAAATCCCAGTTGTTATTTAATTTTGTTATTACTGTTATGCTATTTATTAAGTGTTATTGAAGTTGATGCAGTTTTGTGGATAGATGTTAATCTGAAAGAGATCAATACATTGTATTTGCCATGTATTATGTTTAATGCGAAATTAATGTGAAGTGTGAGGAGTATTTATGTGGCTGTGAGAGGTTTTATACATAACTCTTGCAGCTAATGTGTTTGTTATATATACATAGTTGTTTATGTTGTCGTACACGATTAAGAGAAATAAGTAAAGGTACTTAAAAGTATATCATTAGATCATTGTTCCCGGAAAAAAAAAAAAAACAAACAAACAAATTGTTGGCATAATTGAGATATAGTTCCTGTTACAGGTAATGTGATACGCTCAATTGTTTTTATCTTTCTATTGTAATGTTGTATATGTTGGATTATGAATTCGTCTATAAAAGCTATTAATTTGCGTATAATAATATTATAGAATTGTAATAAAGAAATTGATGAACACTATTGTAGTGACAATTGTAAATCAATAAGTTCTTCTTGAAGTTTAAAATTTTAGTACCGAACAAAAAATTTGGCATACTGTTAAGTTGTGATAAGAAATATTTATAGTATGAATTAGATTATAAAATCGAAACATTATGTTATTTATTTATAATTGTGGTACAACGACATTTGCTTTAGTTGTGAAATCTTGGTTGGGAATCTTTATTGGTTTTATTGAATTGTATTAAGAATGAATTTCTTTTTGCAGGCAAGTCATAACAATGTCTACTACTTTTCTTAAAGATACTGATGAATCAAAAGATGATTGGACAGTCACTGTCAGATTATCTAGATTGTCGGAATGTAGGAATTTCAGAATGGGTGACGAACTTATGAGCCTGGACATGATTTTTATTGATGAACAGGTATAAAATATAATCTGAAAATAATGTTAAGACTTTTATTTCTGATTTATACAGGTTTGCTTAAATTTGTGATTTTCACTAGTTTTTTATAATCAAGTTATTCATGCCTCGATACCAAAAAATAGGATTGCAAAGTTTAAAAATCAGCTTCATGAAGGGTCGATATATTTGATCAGACATATAAAAGTCATATCATCTGCTCCCTCTTATAGACCCATTGACGGCATATATTGTATACAATTTCTCATGATCACGACTGTACAAGAAATAAAAGAACCGAGAGTTGTTATTCCAAGATATAAATTTGAATTTGTTGGTCTTCATGATCTTCAGAATAGAACAAATCATACAAGGTTATTATCAGGTATAGTTATTTGAATATTTGTGCTTTAAATGCATGAGAAATGTATTTGTACGTCAAATGTGATAAATTATATGTAGATGTCATTGGAGTTTTGAATGCAATAGGAGAAATTAAAGAGATCAAGTCGACAAAGACTAAAAAAAGAGACATCAGATTGCAGATGACAGAGTAAATTCCTTTGTTAATGTTTTTACATTCTTCTTCCACTTTAAATAATTTACACTAATATTGATTTCGGAGAAGCAGTTGACATTACGTTATGGGGGAAATTTTCCAAAGAAATAGGTGAAGATTTGCAATCAGCAAGTACCAACCCAGTTGTCATGATAGTTACTTCAACAAATGTTAAAGATTTTCAAGGTAATAAAAATATATTACATGAAGTTAATATATTTTCGATTACTAACTTATGTTCTTTTCCATACAGGAAGATTATATCTCAATACAACTTTGGCATCTAGAATTTATATAAATTTAGATATTGGCGAGGTGCATTCTCTACAGAAAGAGTATGTGTTTGAGAAATAGTTTTTTAAAGTAATTTCATGGATAGAATCGTATTTAAAATTTTATCTACTCTTTGTTATTTCAAAATGGGAATTCTGCCAGTAATTCAATTACAGAAAAAGATTCTGAATCAAGTTCCGATTGAGAAGGAAATGTTTGAGAATAGAACATCACTCCAACATGTTACCAATCTTGTGTGGCATGATGTTGATGAGGTACAATATTCACTAAAACGTTAAACTGATTATTGTAACATAGTTTGTGAACAAAAATTACAATTGCATAGGTGATGGAGTATACAATTAAGGCCAAGATAATTGAAGCTGATGATAGATATGGTTGGTGTTACAATTCTTGCACCTATTGCAAGAAGAAAATCCCTGATATTAATACCTATTTATATTGTGAGAAATGCAACAAAGAATCAAAATCTCCTCAGATGAGGTATATCATTGTTTATTTTTTACTATTTATAATTATGTATTGTCAATGCAATAAGAAGTATATTCAATTTCAGACATTTATTTGTAACAATGTTTTTTTAATGTTATAACAGATACAAGGTGGAAATGAGAGTGTCAGATGGAACTGCCGAAGCAACTTTTATATTGTTTGATACTGTAACCTAGAGATTGGTTGGGTTATCATGTTCTCAACTGTTGAACAAACAAGGTAATGATCAGAAGAATATTCCAAAAGTTTTGAGTGACCTATCTGGACAGATGTTCATTTTCAAAATCAAGTTGAAAATTATGGATCTGAAGGAAGGATATTAATCTTATACTGTCACAAAATTTTTTCCAATTGATGAGAATCTTGAGGATGAATATAACTTACGAGAATTGTAAAAGGTCAGTATAATCTTTATTCTTAGATAGTTAATTTTCATAGTATTGAAGTGGTATCAATGTTTTGTAAAAAAACAACAGGCAAGTAATGGAGAACATGGATCACAATCATCGATGTCAGACGTGAGTGAATATGAAATACTGACACCAAAAATCAAAGATGTGTCTGGAAAAACGGTGGAAAGAGTTGAACCTGATGATGCTGAAAATAGGATAGACAATTCTTGTATAGACATGTTAGACAGATTGAAAGAGACGGAAAGAGGAAATGAGAAGAAAGAAAGTGACGATGAGAATTTTAAAAGCAACAGTAGGAGTTACAAAAGCAATCCAAGAAAAACGTTAAGGTCTCGATAAAGTGATCATTTCACATTCGATAGATTAAGTATATAATGTAATTGGGACTTCTTTTGTGAAAATGCTTTATCTTTATTGATGAATGCCAACACAAATAAATATAATACTAAACCACAATTAGTACAAAGCAGTGAACAAATTATTTCGTGTAAAAAAAAATATATATATCGCACCATTAACTTAGGAATAACAAAATTGAACCTTTGAGTCTATGAACAATCAAGTTGAATGGTTGGCATATGAAATATGATGAAATTATATAACGTGTAACATTAATAGTTCGATATACTTTTATACCTAAAAATCTTCATTTAAAAATAATAATAATAATGAAACTATTAGATTTTTTATTATTGTTTTAAATGAATAAAATAAGTATAACATATGTTTATGTTTGGTCCGGTGATAGGACTATTCTCCATTTAATTTTAGTAAATTTTTCATTAATTTTATAACAGGAAAAATGTAGATGTGAGTATGTTTGATAGAATCGCCGAAATAACTTTTATGTTTGATATAGTAATCTTGAAATTAATTGGATTATCATGTTCTCAATTATTAAACAAACAAAGTTTTTGAATGGACTGTGTGAACAGATGTTTGTTTTGAGAAGTGGACTGGAGGTTACTGATTTTAAAGAAATATACGAATCCTATATTGTGAGAAAAGTTTTAGTTGACAATGTCAAACTTGAAAATTATTATAAGTTACAGAAATTACAGAAGGTCAGTATATATTTTAAGTTTAAATAGTTGATCTCAATATTATTCATATAATATTAAATATCATGCACAATTTGCTATGAAATACTAACATCGAATTTCAAAAACATGTCTGTAAATATAGTATTAATTGTACAAGTGGATGATGCTGAAAATATAATTAGACCATTTTTATACAAACATATTAGGGGCATATGCATTTTGTAACTTCAAAGCCAACAGATGATTTTCTTCTGTTAAGGTTTCAACCTGAGTTGGAATGAAAAGAAAATCATTAAAATCATTAACAGTACTTAAATAGATATAGGATTTGAAATCATCTAGAAAAGCGAATCATATTCTACCAGAGTCTCTATACCTTCTTTTGGGATTCGAAGTACAAGTCTCTATATTTGGATTGCTGATTTTTGATTACATGTATTAAATAGTCAACCTTTCCCTTCAAATTTTCAATCGTATTACTTGGTTCAACCTGTTTCATCTGCTGAGGTGATTGCAGTTCGACTTCTTTGTCGTTGTCAGTGAAAACTACCGATTCTATCACACGCTGAACATCGTCATTGTGAGTATGCACAATTGTTCCTTGGAGTCTTACAAAACGTCTACCAAGACCCCTACCAACTTTCTTCCGTTTATTTCTTGCAGATAAATTCTTTACATTTTCTTTCCTCTCAGTTTGTGATTCTACCATCTTTGCTGATTGTTTTGTCTTTTCCATTCTACCAAGATTACACAACAAAGCAGACCAAATATGAAACCGAAATACATAACAAGAAAAAAAAAAGGGAAAAAAAACTTGTTATCTCAAACATGTAAATTCTAAAATAATAAATTTCTCTGTAAAAGTAGTTGTAGAAATTTTTTTTATGTTTCTTCCCTTTTTGTGATCCTTCAACTATTAATTTCTTATGAATAGTAAACCTAGGTTTTCGTTTTTAATAACGCTTCATCCAAATTTTTTTACAAGTGTTATAATTGCATAAAAATGACTTCAATATGTAGGAATGCCTATCAAATACAACTGTATACTATAATATTAAACAAATTTTAACGATAGAATACACAAACAAACAGATGAAACTACTACCAAAAATAGAGAACAGAATTGAAAAAAGGGATGAGATATACAATAACTGAATCGGCAATGTAGAAGATGTTGACACGAAAGCTTCAAACACTTCGGAAGAAAATCGGCACCAACACGAGAGAAAGCCGAAACGATTACATTGACAGCGTGTTGGATAGAGAATGGGCATGAACATAGCTTAAAGAAATATAATATGTGTTAAATAAAAAAAAACCCAGATAAATGAATATATCAATAAAACATAAATGATTGTTAATCCGTCAACTGTAGAAAACCGGTTGGGCCAATGTTTTTGAAATAGCAGGTGTACTGTTTAATAAAATAATATGTAATTTTTTAGGAATACCTGGAACAACATTATTGTTAAATATTGCAAAAATTTGGTGAAATATATTTAATTCAAATAATATTTAATTTTTTAGATACTCTAACAGTGACTATCCAATCATCTTTTGATTCATCAATATCTTTAAGAAAAGTATTAGACATTGTTATGACTTACCTGCAAAAAAAAAATTCATTCTTAATAAATTCACTAAAAGCAATAAAGATTCCCAACCAAGATTTTACAACTAAGGCGAATGTCATTCTGTGTTATTAGTTGACTTATTTATCTAGGATTCAACTTTATGTTATGCTATTATTTTTATATATATAGCTATAATGCAATTTGTATTCCTAGTATGTTTAAATATTTATTGAAATTCATTCTTTTTTTAAACCTGTTGGTGCGGCAATGGGTGTCAGACAGAAGGAGTTCAAACAGATACTACCCAATGTTCGTAGCAACATAGAAAATCTAAATGATGCAAGAGAAAAATGCAACGATATGATTGATGCTTTATTTGAAATCGTGGATGATGTTAAGCTTATTGTTGCTGATGTTAAGACACGGNTTGGACTTTAACTAAATATATATTATTGTTTCTTTTGAAACTATCCGAACAATTTTTTTTTTTTTAATGTTTATACTTATTTATTACTATTTCTTTGTTGGTTTTCCCGATGTAATTATTTATTAAATCAATGAAACGTTTCAAGTTAGTCCATATCACCTCGGTTGGGTTTTTGATATTTTTGGATTCTTCAATTGTTGCATTCATTTAATACAACATGTTTGTTTGCTTTCCATATGTTTGTTTTGTCTTCTTATTTAAACTCTTCTCGAAACTGTTTGTATATAACTATCAATCTTAACTTTTTTTCATATAACTTTTATATGTTTGTGGACCTTCTTTATCTCTTTTACCTTTAATTGGTTCCATAATGGCTAAAGAAAGAGGAGACCTGAAACAGATTGTGAGTGACATCGACCACAATGTTACTGATATAAATATTGCGAAAACAAAAATCAAAGAAGGCATGCATTTGCTGGTCGAGGTGATGAATTCTATAGTCGCTATTGTTTCGGATTTGAAAGGAAAGGATACTTTGCTTTCTGCAAATGAGGAGCGACTTGGAATGGGAAGGCGTCAAGAGAGAAAGTAATACAAATTTTGTGTAATATAAAACTAAACAAAAAATATTATAAATTCTGTATTATTAGTTGACTTATTTATTTGGAATTCAACTTTATATATGCTATTATTTATATATATACAACTATAATGCAATTTGTATTCCTAGCATGTTTAAATATTTATTGAAATTTATTCTTTTTTTAAACCTGTTGGTGCGGCAATGGGTGTCAGATAGAAGGAGTTCAAACAAATACTACCCAATCTTCGCAACAACATGGAAAATCTAAATGATGCAAGAGAAAAATGCAACGATATGATTGATGCTTTATTTGAAATTGTGGACGATGTTAAACTTATTGTTGTTGATGTTAAGACACAGGAGTATTCGATTGATCTCAAATCGGAATGTTCTGATCAGATGACTACAGAACCTGGACATACACCATGTGCTGAACCTAAACAAATATATAAAGCAGTGCACGCATGTATTTTGATATTAAAATATATTAAAAAAGTCTATGTTCTCATATAATTTTTTTTTATTGTTTGAAATTACTTTGTATTGGTTAAACAATAGATTCGCAATATTGTAATACCAATATTTCAATATTTGCTGATACAATCCAAATTAACATTTTAACAGCGTACCAGTCATTAACCAAGTATATCAGTTACAATAGGTCCACACACAGTTCATTAATAATATATCAGGGATTTTTTTTACAAATACAAACATAAACCACTATGAAACATAATCCAATGAACACCATCACCATCGTTCAACACAATCCCTGTCGAAATCATAAACTTAGCAATTCTATTCACATCAGTACCCTTCTCATTATTCTTCTTCTTAAAGTGAATCTTGCATTGGCGCTACAACTCCATCGAATTCAATTGAATAAATTTCAACGTATCGACATTATCTTTCAACGTCTGGTAGTTATGATTGTTTATATTCTTGAAAGTCCCAACCAAACACAGAACAACAACAAGAAACTCAGTATCCATGGCTATGTAATTATACGTAATTCCACATCTCTCAAAAGATACCATAAGTGACAGGAAACATCAAACCCTAAACTGAGTTTCCGCTGTATTAACAAACATTGCCATTTCAATCCTCTTTTACCAGATCTTTCTCTTCGTCTTGCAGAATCAAACCCTCCAAGAAACTGAATTCTAGACTTAAATGCATCAAAACACACTTCTCGAGTGTTCAAGAACATGTGTGAGACAACATCAAAAGCTCTATCTCTTTCCTTTTCAACTGCAACAAGTGTAGATTTCAGTTTGTTGGTGCAATCCAACAATTCTTTCTCCTTTCTTTTGAGAACATCATTTTCTAACTTGCATTTGAACATGATTGTTCAATAACTGTTAATTTCTTCTTATGAAACTCCGATTCATTCATAGCTTCTGCCATCTGTTTCTCTAAATCCATTATTTCTTCTGTGATTTTGGTCTTATGAGCAACAATTTTTTTTTTTCTCTATTTTCAAATTTGCAATGACTTTATCGAAGGTCAGCCATCACCTCCTGATTTCCAAATAAGCCGTAATTCTCTGTTCTACAAACATGTCAAGAACAACAACTATAATGTAAATAATTTTTAATAAACTAAAACTAAACCAATTTCATCAATTTTAAATCACAGAATTCACCTCTTCTAATGTAAGTTCTTCAAGATCTTTTTTAGACATTGTCTTTAAACTTTTGGGCGGAATTGAA